ATGTGAGAAAATAAAGTGATTCACAAGCTGTTAACCAAACTTGTTCCTTTATTATGCTTAGACTATATTCAGTGTCCTTACTGCTCAAGAAGGTTTAATGAGGCTGCAGCAGGGAGACACATTAATTTCTGCAAAGAACAATCTACCCGACGTACCTTTTCACCAAGTACAAAAGCAGCCAAACCAGCCCTGGTAAGTAAATGCATTTGCCCTTGTGTTTTCTTGCAAATGAACTTGCCAAACAGTGGACTGAAATGTAGGGAGGGATGCCCCAACTCCATAAACTGCCTTAAGCCCCAGGGAAGCAGGTGAATTTACCATTTTCCCTGGTGAATTTACAAGTTTCCCACTGAACTTAAGAACAGAGGACTGGAAGGGGCCTCCTGGCCAATCAAGTCCAGTCTCCTGTGTTCGCAGGCAATTATTTACCTGAAGAATTCTCCAAATTGCCACTTCCGACCAACAAACCTAACCACAACAAACTGTACCCAGCGCACCAAGAACCCTTTATAAGGGCTCTAAGTAAAAGCACTGGAGATGAGGCCACTGTTAGTGATCTGCCACTGTTCAACTGCAGGAAAGCAGCCAGTAACTGCTCAGAAGTTATAAATTGCTTGAAACAGGAGCCTGTCTGGCTTATAGAAAGTTGTAGAAAAGAATGGTAGCAAAATCTTGAAACAAAAATGGCTTCTCTGGGTTCTTCTATCAGCAGATTCCAGGAAAACAATTGTACAATACTGGAAACCATTCCTGTTTTCAAGTAGCACTCTCTGCCTTAGCAATGGGACTCAAACTGTGCTATCAGAAGGCATCCCTAACTGTCTCTGTGGGCTGAGCTACTTGGATAGTCCCCAGAAGAGCAGTGATCTGTGACTTTGAAGTTCACTCCTCTTTTTATTAAATCGTTTTAAAATGTTTTCTATATTTTTAATGGTTTATATAAAAATGTGAACTGTTCCTTTAAAAAAATAAAGAAGTCGTGGTAATTTTAACCTGAGGTTGTTTTAAACAGAAGAGTCAAATCTGTTCTCATTCCTACCAGTCCACTTGCTCTGATATGTTCAGAAAATTGAGGATAATAACTTTACTGCCAAAAAAGGCTTTAAAACCCTCATGGCTGAGATGGTGGTCAGACTGAGAGCACTCAGTCTTGTGTGTCACACATTCAGGGGTGTCAGTGAGCAGTGCCATAGAAGGTGAAGTTCCATGATGTAACAGTGAGGTACCTGCTTTTTTGAGGGTTTGACTGTCTAACACTGGGTGAGTGAAATAGTTCTTTGGGTAAGGAACAAACACTCAGGGACTTCTACCCCAGCCCTGACAGGTGCTTAGGGGATCTGAAAGGGGGTTAGGAGACCTGGTTGCTGTCAGATTCTACAAAACATCTGCTGGAGCTGAGTTCTTGTGGCTTGTGCTTCTTCGTATGCCATGAAACTGTGCTAACTGCCTGTGTGAATGCGGCATATTCTCTTATTAGGGCAAACAACCAAAGAGAGAACCAGCTTTAACAACTGCTGTGGACTCACTGCTTCAGAACAAAGCACAAGAAGCTGCCAATGCAAATCAGTTGAGGGCAGGTAAGAGTAGAAAGCACAACAAAGAATGAGCCTGGATTGAGTGAATGTTCTCAAACATCAGTGGCCAAGTTCATTGATACTCTAGAACAGGGGTCGGCAACCCCTGGCACGTGTGCCGAGCATGGCATGCGAGGCCATTTTGCTTGGCACGCCGCGGCCAGCCCCGGCTCCGGA